GGCAACGTCGCATTTTCTGAGGCACAAGTTCATCTTCGGTTTCTAAAAGCTCCGAGTCTATTTTGTAATGAATTTTATCCATTTGATTACGAATTTTTTGCATTGCATTTTCAAAGTTTTTTAGATCTTGTTTAGCCTTGATAGGATCGGTATTAATTGTCTGCAGTTGCTTAAAAATGTAGCATGACTTTATGAAAAACTGTTAACCAAAATATGAAATCTCTGTCCTGTTATCTAAGTTTATAAGCACCGGCTTGCTCAATCGTAGAATTTAATTTTAATATCCATAACGTGTATCAGTTTATTTCGGTATTCATAAACTGTAATAACTCCCCGTGATTGGAAATTCCATCTCGTTTGTGATGAGCGTGGAAATCGTCACATTTGTTCTTTTAGGTAATGTAGAAAAAAAAAAACACGCGCGAATTCCAGGTAAATGAGCAAAAAATATTCGAACAGACGCATTAATTGAACCTGCACTGCTCATTATAAGGTTAATCTGATGTGCATAGAATGAACATAATTTGCTAAAGAATATTTATCTTTAATTATTTTTTGTACCCCATTAATACCTCCGCTCATGACTGACGCTCCGTCGTAACTCTGCGCCATCAACTTATTTGGTGTGTCATTAGATAGTGGATTAATTTCATTTAAAATGCAATTTGCTATTGAAATGGCATTGTGTCCGGGAGGATTTACACATTTCCAAAATCTTTCTACTGGCTTACTGGAGACAATGTATCGTACAATAATGACATAATTCGTTTTTTACTTTCCTATCTGTATACAGATATAAGGAAAGTATAGGAATCATGATTTTTTTCGACCTCGAGTTTTTGATGGATTTTTACGTTTTGAGGTCCCCTGAATCCGTTTTGACTATTTTCGCGATGATGTCTGTGTGTGTGTCTGTGTGTCTGTGTGTCTGTGTGTCGAATAACTCATGAACCGATACACGGAAAAACACCAAATTTTAAACTTTAGCTTTGTTCCAGCGTCCAATGAGCTGATTAGATTTTGGGCAGAGTCGAAACATCTGGGGGGGTACTTTATGGGTGGTCATTTTTATATTTTATGGAATATATCTGTTATTTACGTTTAGGGAAGAAAATTCTTTAAATAAAAGTTACTTCTTATATTATTATCTATAATTTTTGTTCAATACAAAGTTTTCCTAAAATGGTCCGTATTCGAGAAATTTGACAAAATGTAAAAAAATATTGTTTTATAAAAATTGTTCAAACAAAAGTTGTTTGTAATATAATTTTCTATAATTTTTATATTATACATAATTTCTCTAAAATGGACCGTATTCCAGATATTTGAGAAAATGTGTACATTTCGAAATTTGAAGAAAACTCAAAAACGGATAAAGAAAAAACATTAAATTTTAAGCTTAAGTTTTATTTCGGCCTGACGTAAAATGATTAGATTTTGGACAGACAAAGTCGGAACATCTGGGGGGTACTTTATTAGAGGCCGTTTTTATATTTTATGGAATATATCTGTTATTTATGTTTGGAGAAAAAAATTGTTTAAATAAAAGTTACTTCTAATATTATTATCTATAATTTCTGTTTTATGTCAAAATTTCCTGAAATGGTCCGTATTCGAGAAATTTGACAAAATGTGCAAAATTCTGATTTTTATGAAAATTGTTGAACTAAAAGTTGTTTGCGATAATTTTTGTTTATAAATAATTTTTCTAAAATGGACCGTAATGAAAAAATTGTAGGAAAAGTGTTAATTTAAATTTTTCAGTATTTTCGTTTTCAATGAATATCTATAGAAAAATGTTTCGAGGTAGAAGTATGTGGAAAATGTATATATTTAGTTTATCCTCTAAACATTTATAGAGGTACTGCAATAGGTTGTATAACATAACCGGAAAAAGCCTATAATAACTAGATAGGAAAGTCATGTGTTGGACACATCAGATTTTTTTTTATTTCTTTAGCCACTACTTCACGGTAAATGCCAAGCATGCAGTCCAATAGTTCATTCTGTATGATCTTAGAAGTCCCTTCAAATACTGTTACTTTGTTGAAATGTTCCTTTAAATCTGCATCTAATTCAGAAATCTATCAATTCTCGGAACACTCCTTTATTTTTGGATTCTTCGGTTTCATCATGTCCGCACAATGCTATTTTCAATGCACCACAAAATCTAATACAATTATTGATGATGTTTAAAATATATTTGTTTTTATCGATTTGTTTATTGTGGATAATATTTTGTCTATAAGCCGAATTTAATTGAGCCAGTATATTTGATTTTCCAAGCAAAGAATAACTAAAAATATTATTTACATGGGTCTTACTGTTTGCATGTGTTTTAATTTTCTCATAAATGTGTACTATGCATCGTCCACGAAGAATCACCCCCCGAACAAAACACAAACAAAACAAAAAAATGCGTTTTTTTTCATCACATGCACAAATCCATTTATTTTTTAAGTACAAATTCCGGTTAAACTTTCTTATCCGGCCTTTGAAGTTTGACGAACTTGAGGTAGAAGCCTTCTGCGTTTTTGTTATTTCCAATTCGGGAAGGTCTCCCAAGTTCCTTTATTTGTATTTTTTCCTCGAGTGAGTTCGTAGAAAAAGATTTCAGTAACAGATTGCTTATTTTATTCATTTTGCTTCGGACTCTCGGACGATTTTTAATTTATTATACTTTAAAAACTCAACTATTCTAACTACCTAACGAACAAAAATTCAGCACGCATAAAATGTCAAAAGCAATTCGCTGAACTCGCCGAACATGCGATTGAAACAATACTATTCTAACTACAGTGCAACCTCTTTAATCCGAACACCTAATTGTCAGACCTTGTTCGGATTATCGAATTGTTCAGATTAACGAATATACAATAAAACACCTCTTACACATTTTTAGACCTTTAGATCTATGTATGTTTATTGATTTTTGTACATTTAAATACATTATTAAACTACATATGGGCAACGCGGGCCGCGCTGCAGGTCTTTTCCTGTCACTGTTCGGATTACAGAGGCGGCATTCGGACTATCTCGCATCACGATTTGCATTCGGATTAGCGTCGTGGAGACACTTCTCGGTGCAAAGCTTTGATGCGTATCGCACTCGAGGTCACTGTCCTCGGCATCGCTTTTTTAAGGGTGATTCGGTCGGAAATTTCTTTCGATCTAGGCACCGTTGCCAGATTTTAAAAGAGTATGGGTAAAAAAAAACCGTAGATCTGAACAGTAGATTTTAATAAAGTGGAAAATAATTATAATTTGCAGTGTAGTAAATAAAAAAAAAACAAGTATATAAGAAACGAAAAATAAACTTTTTTCCACCCAAATTAGAAAGTAAACAAAGAATAAAAACATTTTTAATATATACTTAACGTACGGGAAAAAAAAAAACAATGAAACATAATACGTACCTACTTCTTTTAGATCAGTCTGAATTAGATAATTCAAAATCGTAGTGTTTGGCATATGCATGTTCTTTTTATGATGCCCTATTAATTCTTTGTTTCATTTTAAATAAAAACAATCATTCTCTTGATGTTTTTTTTTATGGAGCCAACCTACAGTAGTGGATGCTTATTACGCTGCTTTTACTGCAGAAAATTTACTAGAGAAAATATTCTTTACCCATTTGCTGAAGAATGAGGCAAACTTAATAAATTAAGAACAAAATTTGCTAGAGACAAAAACAGTAGATCTACGTGAAAATAGTAGGTCTGGCAACGCTGTTTGTTCCCTCGAATGGTTATTCCTGCAAATGTCGCGCTACACTTCAAGCTTGCCAAATGTACGAAGCGTAAAATTTATGCACCTGTTGTCCCACTCGACCTTGGGGTCGGTTCAGTGGTCGCTTGTCGTTTGACGCGCGTACCCAAATGGTACCATAAGAGTCATTATTATAGACGATGAAAAATATTTTACTTGCCAACTCGGAAATCAAAGGAAACGATGGTTTTTATAGAGATAATATAGAAAAGTACCCAAATAATGTAAAATATAAAGAAAAAGCAAAATTCGCTGATAAAGTTTTGGTCTGGTGTGCGATTTCGACTAGGGGGATTTCCAGACCTTATGTGGGTCGAGTAAGGAGGGAAGCTCTTGATTCAGAAAGGTATATTAGCCATTGCATCACTAAATTAGTTGATTTTGTACACCTACATTACAATGGAGACGATATAATGTTTTGGCCAGACTTAGCGTCATGCCATTATGCAAGAGACACTCAAAATTGGCTTCACCAAAATAACATACCTTTTGTAACAAAAGAAGACAACCCCCCTAATTTACCTCAGGCCCGCCCAATTGAAGATTTTTGGGTAATTTTATCTCGCAGAGTACATGATGGATGATGGCAAGCCGAAAATGAGGAACAACTGCGGCGTAGAATTTTTTAGAAAGATACGCGAAATAGATGTTGTAGCCATCCGCAGGACCTAATGAGCAACGTTCGCAGAAAATTACGCTTAGTTGAGGAGCACGGACTTCTTCATTTAGTTTAAGTTCATAATTTTGTCAGTTACTAAGTCGTTAGTTATAGCAAATACAGAAAGTTTATATAAAGTGACTTATTTATGACAAAAACATAGGGTTAAATATTTTATGCCAAAACTATTGGGACATACGTTATTGTGTAGCTTTATGTTAAAATAAAAATATTTTAATTAGTTCTCGAATCAGTTATTTTATTAAAAACTCTTAGATTCATGTGCCATAGGTACAATATTTTACGAACGACAAGATTTTTTTAGGTAAAAGAAAATATGAATAATTTATTTAAATTTATTTTTTTTTATTTTAGAAATTAGCTTTATCGGCTGATTTAGAGTCCCTTTTCCAGCCTATTTAAAAAGCACCATGCTTAATTTTTAAATGCGGGTGTAGATAAAAAATATTAAACTAATACATTATAATAAACAACACAATTCAAAACCGTAAAATAATAATTTCAAACTGATTAAGCTAGTTTTTAATTTTATTTGGTACAAATTATACATTACCCTCTCTCTCAGTTTGGCACTCAAAAAATTCTTGACTATTGCTAAGAGATTGCTTATAAATGAAGGTGGTTTCAAAAAATGTAACTGTTTCATTCGGTTACTCATTACTTTCTAAAAAAAAAGTTTAAATGTAATAATTTTAGATGCAGGTTGAAAAACTTTATATTCTTTTAACTTTCTAAATAATAAAATTATATTGCCACTCACCTCCAAAATATATACATAATGTTTTAATAACATAGGTGTCGTTGTAGTAACAGCTCTAAATTTTAAGTTAGTGAAATCGATAATATAAATATCTCCCATCGCTAGGTCTTCATGTATTCTTACTTCGTAAGTATTAGCTAGAAGATGTATAAAAAGTCTTCTACTGTCAATATTTTCAAAATCAGTATCATTAAATGTTGCCAAACATATTCTGTAGAGCTCTGGTGTTAATTTTGGGAGATAAATAATATCCCTAAAAAGCAAGTGATTTAAAAATGGTTAACAGAGTACAAGACAGACTTAAGGGGTTTTCAAAAGTCTAATAGACATGTAAGGTTTATTGGCCATTTCAAAATATAAATTATTATGATCTAAAACTAGCAATATTGATAAACAGTACTGATTATTTTGTATTAGGAAAAGCCGTGCTTTCACAGCCAATAAGTGGCAACTACGATATCGCTCGTATTCGATTCGACTAATAACCCACCACCATGTCTTCTAACAGACCGGGAGGTAACGACATAATTTTCCGGGTCATTTTCGCAAGTTTAATTTTTTATATGAGTTAGGCAAGTAATATGTAACTCTAATATAAACGTCTTTTCACTCACCCTTATGACAGGTGGTTGCAGGAGGGTTGCAATTACAGTAAAAAATTATAAAAAAAGTCATTTTCGCATGCATGAAACTTGTTGTACACGTTAATTTAAACAAATAAAGTTTGGAAATTATCGTTTTCCACCTGAATTTCACGACAAAGTAAGTACTTCCACCCACCTAAACAAGCAAAAAAAATATATTCGCAAAGCTGAAATTAAGTGTGATGCTTATTTTTGTAATAAGAAAGCTAAAAATAATAGTCTTCCTTGGATACAATACAACATAGGTCATCTTCCAAGCTGATAAAGGGGGTTATGATTGACAATTTGTGTTAGTTTTAACAGGACTGTTATTTTATAAACACACAGAAATAACAACCTGTTTACAAATAACGTGTCTTTTTATAATAACATTATTTGTCCGAAAGGTGCGCGTCACATGCGGCACGTGGTAGTTATAAATTCCAAAACGGAACTTTTATTTTTAAACATTTAATTAAGTAAAAATACACTTAAATGGATATTTAAGACAACTCTGGACTAAAGCCTACACTAAAGCTACCTCAAATACCAATAATAATGTTTTACTCCTATTTATAAACTAAAAATGATTATTAAGCAAATATAATCTAATTATAACATAAAAGAGTCTATTATGTTTACAATATATAACTCCTCCCTGCTTAAGTTTTAAAAAATATGTAGTTATTATTCAAAAGACCTTCTGTGGGATTTTCTAATTCAGTTTCTTCGTTTTCTTTCTTCTATATCTTCTTAAAAGTTGTTTTCTGTATTTAATTAGTATTAAAATAATTATGGAAATAAAAATTACAAAAATTGTTTCAAAAGTGCTTGAATAATTAAAATTATTTTGAATTTCTTTATTTGGCTTTAATTGTTTACAAATTTGATTAATTTCATATAAATTAATAAAATCGTAGTATAGGTATTAGAAGTTTGGTAAGATTTTGTAGTTTTGAAATTTTCTTCATATCGATCTTCGGTAGAATGAAAGGCTTTCCTCTGCTTAGTTGAATGTTGTTGATATATCTTCATTGGTCCAAATTTCACAAGATTTTGATATTTTGATTAATACAGGTGACCTTATGTCTATATACTGGTTACTGTTACATTTGAAAGAATTTATTCAGGTTTTGACGGGATTATTAATACTTCATCGACTGCGATTTGTTCGAATACTGATTCTTTTAAATTAACATTTAAAATATCACAATTTGTCAAAAATTTTCCTTCAAGAAGTTGGAGAGTACAATTATCTCTAGGGATAAAATTCTGTTGACAATAATAGTTTTCTTCAAGGGATGGACATTCTTCTCGTTCAAACTGTGTATCTTGATGTTCTCTTGACAAATAGGGGAATGAAGGTGTTTACATTTTTTGATTTTGGATAATTGGGAATAAATGATAAAATTCAAAGGTATTGCTATCAAAAATAGGAAAATGTATTGCAAAAATTAACTTACACATTTTCTCTTCTTCTTTAATCGTATGATTTACTGCCTTTTTCCAGTTTTCAGGCTTCACATTATTTACAGCCTCCAAAAACAACTGTTTAACATCATTCATTTTAAAAGAATTATTTTTTCTTGAAACTTCTCCCTGCATCTGTGCCCATATCAGTTCAATCGGGTTTACTTCGCAATGATATGGTGGTGATCTAACCACCGTCATCCCACGATTTTTTGCAATTTCATCAATTTCATATTTTTTGAATTTCTCTTTATGAAGGGAACACAAATGATACAGTTCTTTTCTCACAGAACCGGGATGGAACTTAATATTCTTTGAATTTAGCCAATTCTGTAAATCTTTTTTTAACTACTTGGTTGTGGGCATTTTTTCTATAAGTCTCGAGTGATAACTTGCATTGTCCGTTACTATTATACAGTTCTGAGGAAGAAGATCTATAATTTGTTCGAACCACTCTTTAAAGACATCAGCATTCATGTCCTCATGGTAGTCACCGGTAGGAGTAGATTCAAAAGTCAATGAACCACCTTTAACAAAACCGTTTGAACTACCGATGTGTACTATTATTATTCTGCGCCCCTTTCCTGATGGTGGATTTAAACCACTAGATAAATTATTTAAAAAAGCCTGTCTTCGACTTGTAACAGTTTCATCTTGCCAAAATTTATTTGGTTTATGTCCCTCGTTGATCCATGTCTCATCTAAATAAAATATATTTCTTCTTTGGTTTCTCATTTCTTTTATAGTCCTTAGGTAATTTCTTCTCCATACTACAATATCGCTTCTTTATATTAAAATAGACTTTCTGGAATGCTTTTTCCATAGAAAACCTATTTCTTTTAAAAGTTTCCATAGTGTGATTCGACTCATTTCAGGGTAATCCTTATCATCTCGAACCGTGGCAAGAACTTTATCTACTGTCGGAAATTCTTTTCTAAAGAAGAACGCATACACTTTCCTTCGAAGTCTTTCTTTCAAAAGATTTTCTAATTGAAATTTTGGTTTTCCTGGAGCTTTACGTGCTGTTTGAAACTCGCCACATTTCTCTTCTTTAACAACTCTGTAAATCGTAGATTTCCCAACACCAAGCGTACTACTAACTAATTCCACTGTGTCATCAACACTTTTACGTAAATGTTTGTCTATAAATGATTTAAAACAATTAAATATTAATGTTTTTTCATTAACTGTTAAAAGACCGATTTTTTGTCATTTACGCGGCCCTTCCAAATTTTCCATGATCACACTAGAATTCACACTGCACCTTACAAGTTGCAACTAAACTGTCAAGAATACACAACTTGGACCTCCTTACTAAATGGAAAACCTATAATCGTATTTTTGGTGAAATTTGTTGGGAAGGTATTTATCTACTTATAATTCGATTACTGTAAGAAATTCTTGGAATAAAAATAAAACAAAATTGGCAAATAGGTACTTATTGAAAATAATCTTAAGATACGGCTATGTAATCTTTAATACACAGGGCTTTTGGCCTGTCCAAACCTTTTTCTATTGTTCTGTACATCTTATGTTTATAAAGGACCAATAAAAGACCCAAAACTTGTAATAGCTCAGGTACATTTATTACAATTTTAGGAAATATTTAGATTATTCTGTAAAAATATTTAAAATGACCGTACTAAGTTTTGCATTAGAAATGCTGTTTTATTACTCTCTCATATATAAAAATAGACTATAGTCGTATGCCTAACACGAAAAAATAAGCATTGGATTTATAAACCAGTATAATGTGCACTGAATCACGGGAAGAGTTAAGCAAGTTCTTCACATTATATATTAGCAGAATACCAGTTTGTCAAAATGTTTTGATTACTTAGATAAATCAAAAATTTTGTGTTGAAGACCAAAAGGAAAACAAAAATTCGTAGTCCTATTCGACTAAAGAAAACTTAATCAGGCAGAAATAATACAATAAATTAAGGAGGGTCATATATTTTTTTGTGTAATATTAAATTTTATTCCAATAAATACGTACATCCATACAACAAAGATAAATGTTGGTTACATTTTTAGTTTGTTTAGTGTTAAATGGGGATAAATATAGGTTTTAGGTTTGTCCAAAAAAGATTGATAATTTTTCTTTTTCACCTTATCGTTGGTAAGTTAAATAAAACTAATAACTCTCTGGATGAACGTAGACGATTAAACTTTAGAATATTTTACAAAAATCAAATTGATAATTACCCTGTATTGTAGACTACATCCATATCAGAAGCTGAATTTGGATTTTTCCCTCTGTATATGTACGGTAACATATCTCTGATTGTATAGTACATATCCAAATTTTGTTTGGTTTTTTCTATACTATATTTACAATTTGTTAAGAAGAATTCAATCATGTTGTCACCTGAAATAAGAAATCAGAAGTATTCCACAATAAGTGAGGGTAGATGAAATATAAAATAAAATTCAGTATGATCCATCAAAAAAACATAATGTTGTTCCAGAGGGAAGTTATTAAACACTGTATATTTTATAATAATTTTAGAATATGTTATTTAACATTGGCATCGCATCCTAATTTGTCAGTAGTGGGGTAAAGTTTGCGCACTGCTGACACACCTCCAACGATCTTAATGGCTACTATTAAAGCTCAGTAGCGTATACTACTTTCGCTTAAAATAAATTTTCTAGGATTTCTAAAACGGTCATGGTCAGATGAATCACAAAATTTTAAGAAAATTACCTAAAACTTTAATCCCTAATAACCGTCAAATCGAGTCCGCCTTCGTTTCTAAGAATTTTTTATCAACAGTGGCTATCATTTTTTGTTGTTATTATAGGAAATACCAGAGTACCTACACAATGGATCAAACGCAAATATGTAAATAGATTTTAAGCACTACAGAATTTGTTAAAATTTATTTGTTATTTATGAGCTAAAATGTATTCTGTTAAAAAAATTAATTGGGTAAAAAAAAATGATTATTTTGCACTTGATATCTTTATTATTTTAACAGAATGTGTGGGTGAAGTAGAAATGGTAAAAGTCATCAGCATACAAATATTAAAATAAGAAAACAAAATTTTTTAAAAAATATGAATTTATACTAACCTCTATTCCTTGTTGCTATAACTACTATCAAACAAAATGAATATAAACAAATTAACAGAGTTCTAAAAAATCGTCATCAAAATAATCACTATCACTAGAACTATCACTGCTGTCTTTATTAACATTAATAATAACTGTAGCAGAGCTGAGACGAATCCTCAAAAAAAAAATGATTTTTTCGGATCACGGATACGAATCACTGTCAGCATCATACCATGGTATCATGCATGCTTCTGAATCTAATATCAATATCAACTATGTGTCTATTACCGACTATGACTTGCATACAAATGGTTGATACAAGAAGATGTTGAAAAGAACAAACTTATTTTTTTTCTATAAATATTAACCATAAATAAATTAGAATCTACAAAAAATATATTTTATTTTAATACAAAAAACAAAATAAACAATAAAATAAAAATGTCTTTTGGTTGGCCTTACATAGCACCAAAATTTCGAGGTGCGTCGATTATACCTACAAACAAAAATAATAGACTGCACCAGACGAAGGAAGGCAAGTGTTAAATTTTAGGATTTTTTTATATTGGACATTTATTGCTAATTTGCGATTTCAAAGAAGGCAGCAGAGCACCTAGGCAATTTTAAGTTAAAACCTATGCCATATTTTTAGTTTATTTTTATGTTACTGTTTTTTTTGCAAAAATCAAGGTGCTCTGCTAGCTTCGAACGAAGTTAGCAGAGCACCTCAGTTTTTTAAGTTTTTTTTCCAAAAACAACGACACAAAATTTTTAGGCTCTTAATATATTATTTTAAAAAAATACAGGGTGCTTTGCTAGCTTCGAACGAAGCCAACAAAGCCCCTCTGTTTCAACAAAGCACTCTATTTTTTAAAAAACACTATTTTTTTCAAAAAGTTCTATAATATTTTAAGAGCCCAAAAATAGATTAAACAGGTGACATAAGTAGATGTTTCTAGAAAAAAAAAATAAATAAACTGAGGTGCTCTGCTACCTTTGTTCCACCAAAGCACCCTGTATTATTTAAAAATAGCAATTTTTGGTAAAGTTTTAAAATATTTCAAGAGCCTAAAAATAAAACTTTTTAACATTTTTGAATGGGGTATAAAAATAGTCTAAAAATATGGCATAGGTTTCAACTCAAAATTGTCTAGGTGCTCTTCTTTGAATTAATTTGTAGATTCTTACGTTTATCTTCTAAATATTAATAATCTTTTTTCAGTCTCGGTCTGTTTCAGTTTACATTTCGCTAAAGTCAAAGCGTGTGTTAACCGTTCGCGCCGGCGTAGTTTGGTCTCTAAAAGGATCCGATACTAATATTGGTGATTCGAATACGAATCCTTTAGAATTTCTTCGGCGAATCCGGATCACGGATTCTTTTTTTCCTAAGTATTCGAATCCCGCTCACGGATCCTCAAAAAGGATTCGAATCCTCCCCAGCTCTGAACTGTAGGAATTACAACGTCATCCATTATAATTTTGCGATCTAAATATTTATCTACGACAGCTATTACATGTGCACATCTTTTTTTCCAGTCTTCTTGGGTTACTGATTTAAATTTAATTTCAGCTAACATTTGTACATAAATATTCTTTATAGCTACATTATTTTTTACTACAGCCCAGATAATTTCTATTGGATTTAAGTCTGGGTAGTATGGTGGTAATCTCAAAACTGTATGACCATGTTCGGAGAATAATCTATCAAATTTGTATTGCTTGAATCTATTTTTATGCTATTTGATTAATGTGCACAGCTGTGGTCGTAATAAGGAAGGTTGAAATTCAATATCTGGCCCCAGACACAAACATAATAAACTGCTAGGAATAAAGCCCATGTTACCACCAGCATAAACTATAATAAGTTTCTTTCCTTTCGAAATGGTGAAAAACAAACGTTTTGCATTATCATCACCCCAATTATGTAATGAAGTATGACTACTATGTAAATAAGTTTCATCAATATATACAAAGGGACGGTTTTGAGAACGAAAATATCTAATTTTTTTAATATAATCTGTTCTTTTTTGCATGATGTCAAGCCGTTTCATTAGAACCTGTCTGTTATTTCGCGTTTTTCGCCACTTGAACCCAATTTTTTTAAAAAATAATTCTTAATGATGTGTAGCTCCCTTTCCACTTAATTTCCTTTTTTAATTTTTCATTAAGAGTTTTAACTGTTACGCGCATACCTTCTGTTTCGTGAAATCTATAAACTATATCTCTGTTCCAATATTGTATTGTAGGATGGAATATCTGTTACACTTGATGTCCTTCTGCGCTTTTTTGGACTTTTAAACAATTGTTTAGGTATGGTCGACGTAGAATTTTCACCTTTTACATATCTGGTTACCTTCTATAATTATTCGTTTAATTTCTTTTACCTAGTATTTTGTAGCTTAAGCAACTTTTTCTTTAATTTCAGTAAGAGTTTTGGGATCATCATTCACAACACATTGTCTATAAGTTTCAATATCATCGTTTTTTTTTTTTCAAAACTATTTGTTACCGAGGAACATTTGTTTATTATAAAATATTCGAATAGATGAAATATTATTTCCTTTGCTTAACTACTTAAATGTTTCGGCATTTTTACACAAGTAAGTCACTACTTAAAAGAAAACACTACAAATAAATAAAAATAAAATATAACTCAAAATCTGCACGCTACACAAACAAACACAAATTCAAGAAAATATTATCATCTACTGATCGCTCCCCGACAACACGGCTATTGTTTGCATCTCTCTTTAACAGTTACAGTAGACGTTGACAATTTAAATTCGAGATTAATGCGCATCCCCTCTTCAGACAAATTGGGTTGCGATGCCTGTACCTTTCTGTTGATATATTTTTTTATATCTGTAATAATGGCGGATATATTCGACTTTTTTTACACAAATGGATCAACCTGTATATGAGAAAACTTGAATACTTGTATTTATTGTAAACTGTTCACTTTTCTTATTAAAAAAAGTAAAAAGTATCTAATCAAACACAAAAATATTAGTTTCATTATAAATTTATTAATAATAATAATAATAATAATAATGTTTATTCAATTTAAAGAAAAAATACATTTTAGTAGATACAGAAGTTTAAAAAAATAATAAATAAACATTCATACATATATTATTTTAAAAACTATAGGGATAATCTAGCAAAATCATTCGAAGTTCCATACTTGTCAACATAAAATCATTCTAGAACCATTCTCATATAAAGGATAACAAAATTACTATTGACTAGTGTTAATAGAAAAATAATATTCCGAGAATATTCTGTATTTCCTTAAAAAGCCAAAATTGTAAAATGTAAAATATCAATTCAAGGACATATCCACACTCACATCTACAATGAATGAACAGATTATTATTATATACTAACAAGTCTAGACTGTTTTTTTAATAGGTATTATATAATTATTAAATTTTAACGTAATCATTAACTTTTTTGCAATAATTTGTAAAACCGGTTGATTAAGTTTATTATTAAAATTAATTTGAGTGATATTATAACGCCAACACTTTCAAATTGTATGGGTAGAGAAACTATCAGGCCCATGACACTCCCTGGGCGGGAAAAAGACACGCAGCTTTTACTGCGCTGACGTTTTCGGGATATAACCTATCACTTGTCATAAATCCGGTTAAAAACTCGCTACCATGCGCAGGCAATCCATATTTCGTACATAAATACAAACTTTTGTTTACATTTTATCGAAGTAGTTTTTGTAATACATTCACAGCTTAAAAACGGAAAATTTGTTGTTTTGATAGTGAATTTAGATCAAAAATACCCCAAATACACTTTAGTGTGTGTTTTATCCTTATTGTTACGTATTATTGCTCGTTTTATTTGAGGACATTGGAATAAATAGAGTACTAGAAGTAATCAAGCTAAAAAGGTGTCTTATAAGAAGAAAATACATTGCATTAGACTGATTTATGTTTAATATGTTTTCGTAAAGTATTTCCAACATGCTAGTTCTTTGAATATTTGTAAATTGTAAGTGTATAAGTGATAGAAACTGATATAGTGCTTTGTGCTTCGTTTTTTTTTGTGTTGGTGTCCCAGCCCAGCATTCCTAGCTAGCAGTAGTAGCAAAAACATTAACATTGTCCACATTCAACCCGTTTACATGTACATGATTTATCAGCTAAAAGCAGAATACAATAGTTCTCTGCAAAATGTAAACAACGCTACAAGGAAAATTGCTCATGTATAAATTCAACAATTAAATCAAAATATATTATTTTTAAAGGACTTATATCAACTATTATGTTAATTATAAATATTATAATATAAAT